TTGGACCACACTCCTTTCAACGAATGGTGATGGTTCCGGGACGAACTGCCTACAGCTGCAAAGCTGCCTTTTTGATCCTTTTGCTGTAACTGGGATCTGGGCTTGATAGAGGTTTCAGGGAAAGAACGCTCTGAGCCTCCCACCTTGTTGATAAAAAATATGTTGGCTCTGTTCCTCTTCGATGACGGTTTGAATAGAAAGTCCCAAATTTACATGACGTGTAATGGTGCATCCTCTAGTAAATCTACCAAACAAACTCTCTTCTATCTATATAGATCACCAAATTGATGGGAACAACATCCAATCCAATACATATTGAGAGGGAATGTAGTGTTTGGTGCATTTTGCTAACAACATATGTATACTGTTTTGGACAACAACCACAACAACAACAACTCGGGGCAAAACTGCCGGAAAAGAAGTAGGATCCTCCGCACTGGTCACAACAGCCTTCTGACCGGACAATATTCTCTTCGCACCCGGTTTTGGTGGTGAAGAAGGGGGTGCAAAATAACTGTACAGTGGTTCTTCAGCAGTTCAGCAACAGTTTGCTATAGGTACTATAGGTGATCCACCCTCAAAAAAGGATTCGGTGCCACTTGCAGTCATTAATTTTTTGCCAAGACACGGTTGAAGGAGACTGAACCTCTAAGACTGAATCAATGGCAGCTGCCAGCTTCCGGCGTGCCATGACCTTGTCCAAAGCCCACCTGGGCGTGGGCAGGATTTGGCCATAGAGCTCGACGGGTCTGAAGCTGGCATGGTAGATCTTGGATCGTTTCACCCCCCGGTCCTCAAAAAGCTTTGTACAATCCATGTCTGGGCCTTTTATTCATCCAATTGCATCCAACTCGTCTACATGACCTTCCAAAATGCACTCGAGGCGCTGCTGCTGCGGCGTGAGCCGCGTGTTGATCGTCAGCTGCAGGTCTCGAGCACTGCGCAGCTCCGACGTCATCTGCTGCACGTCACGCGCTCCGTTGATTTCCACGATGGCCTGACATCGGTGATCCTTCGGACGATGCCAGAGATAGCTTCTTGCTACGCTGCTACGAGCGATGGCCTCCAACCGAATAGCGATGGTCTCCATCTAGTTTCTTGCTAGTAGCTTCAAAGCCCAGCAGGGATCCCAAAAATGAAGATTATGCCCGGATATACCCGGGAAAATTCACATGGAACCTGTAATTAGACCAAACTGGAACTTGGACGTGCTGATAGAGAACTGAGAAGAAATTACCAAAAAAACATGTCCCTTCGACTGGGGATTCACCACACCCACAATTTTGAGGAATACCACCCAAATGAACCGATCCACGAGGTAGAAGGATCGACACCCCTCTTGTCACATCCAAGATATGCCGCCCTTCCACGACCCAACTCTGCCCGACTCCAGCTGCTACCAAGGCGCTTGACCCTCGCAAAGGTTGCTCCGCTGCTTAAGTTCTTCACTGGCCTGAAGATTCACGACATCGCTGAAGATTCATAATGGGTTTGGCTGGACATAAGTATTCATGGACACCTCCTTGGAATAACAAGGGTTCCCAATCTAGTCCAGCGAAGCCTATAGGCCTCCTATCACTAGAAGCTCTGTCTGTAATAGTTGGTGGGGAAAAAGAGCTGCATACGGTATACCGTGTATATCCGTTATCATCTGTGCCATCCTCAAGGCAACTTGAAACAACAAGGTCTAGCTAGCTGATAGGAATCCTCAGGCAGCCACTCTTCTAGCTGCTAGTAGCGATGCACTTGTTACTAGTAGCGATGCCCCTGCTACTAGTAGCTTCTGGCTATTTCAAATCCACCGGAACTGCACCTCCACGATGGCCAAGCCCTCGATGCGTGGGTGGACCGCTACCAGGAGACCTGGACCGGCGGTCGCGGTTGCGCCCCATCCGTGGAGCCCCAAAAACCCGTCGCTGGTTCGGTACGTGAAAGCGGAAGGGACCCGAAGGACCCCCAAAGTCTTCAGTGTGAAAGCATTCAGTTGGGAAACTGTGAGTGTTCTTCCTTCCTTCCTTCCTTCCTTCCTTCCTTCTGACCTTCTGACCTCATGACCAAACTTGATCTCCAGAAACCACTTGAGTCCATGAAGAAAAACCGAAGCATTGAGGCCTTTGAGGCCAAGCTGACCAATCACAAGAACCCGGTCAATCACAAGTTGGGTCAATGCACTCAATCAACTTTTTTTGGGTGAAGAACTTGGATGGCCGAAAAAATACCAGGTGCACCTGGTGTTGTAGTCGCAACCCGGCTTTCTTTCTTTGGAAGAAAGAATGCTGCACCTTAAAGAACAAAACCTGAGTCTTCTAAGACCATCAAAAGAAAGGTTGACCTGGTGTTGTAGTGTGAAATCCTTATAAGCCCATAGGCTCCGGTGCAGGGTCCAGGTATCGTCAGATGGCCCTGGTCACCCATTTGGGAAAACACATGCTTCTCGCTTCTGTGAATAATCCATCGTTGGACTCCTACTGAAGGGCACCGGGCAGGGCTTCGCGGCGTGGCGCCACCTACCCACCTACCGGTCGGCGCGATGGGCGCACGGACACCGAGACACCTAAAGCTTGGAGTCCTTCGCGGTGCAGCGTCGTTTGGAAGCTCGCCGCATCCGTCTCCCTCTCGCTTGGCCGAAGGACTTCCAGAGAGGCGGCGACCTGCAGCGGCGCCGTGGAACGGACAGTGAAGGAGTGGCGCCGGACATTTTGGACTGACTGTACGTTTCTTTTTAGCCGAAGTTGGTTGTAATGGATGATAAATGTTTACTGACTGTTACAGGCAATAGGACAGACCCAATTTTCATATCTCATGGGTGGTGTCTTTTTGCTTTTCCTCCGAGAAACCAGTGCCAGCACCATGCGCCACTTCCGCTGCTTGTTGACTCGCTGGGCGCTGCTCAAAAGCAGCGACCCCCGAGCCCAAGCGGCTTCACACAGAAACTGAGGGTCAGTGGTCAAATACGCAAGGAACAGTGCAAGGAAGGGTTTGCTGACCGGATCCAGCTTAGCTTTTGGAGAGTAAGCCTTGACCCATGGCAAATTCCACAACCATCCAACCAATGAACGATGTCGTCTGTGGAGGCATTGGCGCTCCCAGCATCACTTTCATTCGGCATGTTACTCTGGCAGATGCAGCCACTTCGTGCAGCTTTCAGACCCACAGGTGGTCTCCCTTTCATGCAGGTGTTCATCAAGAACACAAGGATGCATAGAAAAGTGAGCGCCAAAAGATCTCCCAAAACCACTGGTGAACCGTGGTGAACCCCATGCCAGGCTCCGTGAGTTCCGTTTGTTCCAATGTCAATCGGATCGGACAAAAGCATTCTGCAGGATGGACAGCTGCATGACTGTGACCGAGTAAACATGATGATCCCAAAAACCACTGCGGTTCAGCCGTATGTTCCCGAATGGAATGTCAATCAAAGGATGGATGGATCGATCGCTGCATTCGGATGGACAGCTCAGGTCGACTGCCGACCTGCCGACCGTGGTGGACCCGCAGGTTGACATTCTCCACCCAAACGTGCGGGGTCACCGTCCCCATAGCCTAAACCCAATGGTTCCGGGCCCGGAGTCTTGTGGTCAGAAAAGGAACAGAAAACTCAGTTGGAACTCAGATGTTGTTGCTGTTGTTGTTGTCGTCTTTTTTCTGCGGATATGTCTTTCCTTCAGATCCAAGCATTTCTTTGGCTTGGACCACTCATGCCCAAACACTGCGGAGCAGTTCTTGGGGGCTGATCCAGGCCATCCAATCCAGGCAATGAAAGAGATGGTGGAAACAACGACAGGAAGATATATCCTTATGATGCCAATGACCTTTTTGACAGAGCCCGAAAGTAGAATGAACCCGGAAACCACTGCAGTACAGTAATAATGTTGATTCACCTGCGACCTGCGACCAGGTGTTTTCTGCGCACTAGATGTTGGATGACAAATGAACAGCCAGAAAACCTTTCAATATCTTTCAATACTCAATGACATGAGACAATATGGAGGAATTCTCTGGTAGATTGTCCGTGTTTCTTTGAGGGTCCAGTCTCTTTTTCGGTAAAAACCACCAACGAACCTCAAGAAAAGACACTCAGGACTAGTTTGGTCTTGCTTGATCCATTCTCATCCTACTTGATGTGCAGGCTGGCTCAAAAGGACACATCTTCCCCATGACCGGGGGGGTTCATCCAGTTTCGGACACCTATCACCCGAAAAATGGCAAAACCTTTTGGCGTCCTACTTGATGTTGCAAGGTTCGCCCTTTGAAATGGCTCCTCAGTGTTGGGCATGGAGGTGATCGAGAGACTTTGAAGGAGTCGAGGGAGGCCAAAAACTGCTGATGAGCAGCGCCGCTTGCAGGATTTGGTCGTTGTCCTCCTCATCTTCCTCATCCTGATCATCACCTTTATCCTCTGACCATCATCTTGCCAAAGAGAGGATGGGTGAGCTAGGCTGGGAGAGGAAAACTCCATGGGGAGCAGGAGCAGAAAACATGAGGGGGTAGATGATTCCATGATATTGCAAACCAATCAGTCTACTCATGTTAAGCTCAAAGGGGTTGGAATCTGTTGAACCACGTTGTGGTTGTGGAACTCGCTTGGAGACTTGATCTTTCCTGCCCACAAGTATTGTTTGATATTAATGGTGCTGGAACACATCTGAACTCCATCGAGTCTGAATACTCCTCAAATCTTGTCTCAAAGGTTTTCCTCTTTCCCTGATTACTTTCCACTGCTAGGAATCCAAGGGAGGTGTACAAAAGATCTCTTGTCACCGTTGAGATTTAGTGGAATCAGGTCCAGTTCAGGTCCAGGTTACACCTTTCCGATGTCACAATCATCGCTGGCGCCTGTGCTGCTCGAACTCATCAACTGAGGACAGAATGCTAGCCAAAAACCATCATCAACCCATGTCATCTGCAGTTCTTGACGTCCTCACACCCTTACCACTCAGATCTATCAACAAATGGAGATCGCAGGAAGCCATTCGTCCCGTCCCCACCGGGTGAGATGCCATTCATCGATGCACGGACCTCAGATCCGCGCGCTCCAATGGCTGTGAGTCAAAACCAGGATACCTTGGTTGACCAGGATACCATGAACAGAATAGACGACCACGGAGGTCAACCTACCAGGGAGGTCAACGGGTCTGGGTTTTGATCCACACCCAAATGAACCTTGAGAATGGGCCACGGTGGAAGACTCTTGTCCTCTACAAACCAGCAGTTGAAAGAGGGTCCATTCTTCTGTGGGGTAAAGCCGCTTTTGGAAACCATGAGAAGTTGTTCTTGTTTGATGTGGTTATATCTTATATCACTCATATCATCCAATGTTCAGTTTGGAGCTTCTCCAAACCATGAGATTTGCTGTCCAGGGTCCAGGAGAAATACACATATGCTCCCTGAAATCATCATGGAGGTGGATGGCACCACCGGTTTCGTATTCGGATTTCAGGCTCATCGTTTCGAGGCCATGCCTTCCACTTCCATTATTCCTTCAGGGAGGGTATGTCCAATATACTACCCTGTTGTTGTTATTGCAGGACGCACATCATCAAAAATAGAAAATCCATGAAAATCCCAGAGAGGAAGTGTGTAAAGAAGTACAGTAAATGCATCCTCTCACCACAAAGGGGACATGTCCCTTGTCAATCTATGTTAACTACCACCAGCGGGCTAACTACTTAGGTCCTTGTGTGCCTCACGTGGGGAAATTGCAATCCTGCTTTCTGATCCCTTCACTGGCTATGAACCACCACTTGGGAAGACCGAGACAAGAGTTGGGTTCGGAGGTTTAGACATGCTGCAACAAAATTAAAACTTCCACGTTCATCGGGTTCCATGCCCGTCAAAAAATGTGAAGACCGAAATCGTTTCCACCAGGCGTCAACTGTGCCAGCTTGAGCCCTAAGGTCTCTTCGTCGAACTGCACCTGCACAGCACATCCACGCGCGCGCGAGTCCTCTACGAGCGTACGCGCGGCCGCCGTGCGCGTCAACGATTGCGCAGCAGTCCGCAGCTTACGAGCTTGGCTTTTCCAGCGGGGTGACTTGCTGTGCAGCTTGGCACAAGATCCTGCCTCAATCAAGACTCCAAAAATCAACAAATGGGTCTGTGACAAGCATTGATCCCTCAAGGGCCGGTAGAAAACCTAGTTCTTGCATCTCAAAAGCACTCCTAGACCCTGTAGGTTCGTTTGACTTTTCCCTAAGATCCCACTAAATCATGAAACCAACTAACATGCGGCCTACCTAGCAACCAAACCTGCCAGGCACCAATGTAGATCAGTGCACAATCTGGAGAATTTGGCAAGTGTAGAAAACACATAACGCAGGTCTCCGAGGCCCTGGGCAGGAGGAACAAAATCTGATAGAATCTCGGTGATGGATTTCAATTGTCCTTGACAACTTTAATCAAAGCTATATAACTAAACAATACCCATGAGCCACCCTGCACAAAGAATGAAGGAGTTGTTTCAAGAAAACTGTCACTCTGTGGCCGTTGCTGAAGCCTCATCCTTTGCAGGCTTGCGGGCTGATTCACATCTAATGCACGTGTTGCTGAGGATCGATTCCACAGAACGGAAACCTTTCTGAAACTCCCATCCGTGACTCATCAGCTTTGCACCGTCAGCGAAGCCCTCGGATTTCTCTGTCTCTTCGGAGCAAACACTCATCGATATCCCGCCACTCTTCGCCCGGAAGCGAAGAAACTATCTCCGGTGTAGCAGCCAGGCGGAACTCAAATCCCCCTGTGCGTCGCTGCAAACCCCGCATGGACTTTGAAATGGCGCTTTGATCGATACCAAGTTCACGCGCTGCACTTGCCATGGAGTGGTGCCAGCTCCATGCATGGTTTTCCATGCCATGAGGCCGGCTCCAAACGGGCTTTGCAGCAGTTCCACGCCCAAGTGTCGACGATGCATGAAAATGAGCCAAATTCTCGGCTGGAGAGACCCACTCCAGATTCTCCACAGCATTGTTGCCCTTGTCCAGGTCTTTGTGGTTGACGAAACATTGATCAACGGAGAGCGGTGGTTCAAGAAAAGCAGCAGCCACCAAACGATGGACTAGCACACTCCAGCGGTGCGAATTGATGCGTAGGCTTGTTGTGTAGTATCCCTGTTTGGACATGTGTCCTCTGCCTATCAACCCAGTGCACGATGCTATGCGGCCTAAAGAGCTCACCATCCTTCCTGGCACCAGATTCCCTGACATCGGGTGGACAACCGGTCGCCATTCTTCTCCGGACAACGCAAGATCACTCGGACATGGGTACTTAAACTCGAGGCCTTTGGTCGCTGATTGGTTGCGGCAACATCTTGACACGGTGTCTCTGCTCATTCCAAGCTGCTTAGCTGCTGCTGTGACGGAGGGAACAGTTGTCCAGCTCATGGACCCGATAGGTCTACACAGCACCAGCTTTGACCGCGCAGGCCCGGAACTTCTCCTCTTCGGATTCGAATATGTGTGGCGTATGTTTTCACTTCGGGTTGAATACTCCAAGTTGTCCAACTGATTGTTGGCCCTGTCGCCATCCACGTGATGAACTTGCCAGGCCTCCTTCCTTCTGGGGAGTCCATGAAAAGCGATCTTGACGATGCGATGAACGCGGAACTGCTGTCCCGAAATTTGGACGGACATGTAGCCGCTGGGAGTGAGGCAACCATGTGAAATAACGCCTCTGGAGTTACAAATACGTCCGTGCGAACTCACCTGCCAACACGAAAAGAATCGCAAAGCAGTTGGCCAAGCGTGCGAAGCACACGGGGCTCGCCATGTGGTCTGCATCGGAATGTGTTATACAATAAATACATACACGTACAGTATATGTATCATATATGTATCTGTTGTCTGACATGTTCTTCTGACCTTCACTGTACCCTGACAGGTCTTGTGAATAGTTATGGGATGGTATGGGGATGTGTGTCAGGGAGTAGGGCTTGATACTGCTCTGATGGTTCTTCAACAGTGCCCAAAATTCCAACCCATGAGATCCTACATGACACCCATCAAAAGCTACAGTCAGACCCTGGCAAAATAATTAGAAAACGTAAGAGACCCCAATCCAAGAACCTCCCTTCCCACAGCCCTCAACTCCCATGGCGATAGCTCGTGCATTCCTAGCATGCCTATACTTTCCTAAGCCACCCCAAGCAACCCAAGCCAATCCAAAGAAATCCAAAGCAAACCCTAGCGATCCTGAGAAATCCTAAATTTGTCCCAAGGTGCAAAGTGTTAGGAAATTACCTTTGTATTTTTCCCTGTGTCTGAGAATGACTCCTTTGAACCACCTCATTCTCCATGTCTAAGTGTGACAAGAGCGATGACAGGAAAGTCCATGGAACAAGCTTCTTTGACTCGAGCAAACATGAGCAGCCAACAGCCGCAGGTAGCCTGTACCCACCTACCAAGTGTTGCTTGCAACACACTCAAAAACACAGTATGCAGTATGAACATATGCAAAGTGCGCCAGGATACGGCCAAGAAAACCTGCATAATCCCAGTGGAATTTCTTGTGTTTTTGACAATAGTTGCTTGATGAATCGGTCAAAGGCAAACATGTTGGGCCACTGTCCATTCGGTTTAACTGTCACATCGACCACAGAGGAAAATCAATGAACCCCTGTGTGCTCGAAATGCACATGTCAGTGAAAGGTGGCCAATGCTGCTCGAAGAATTGTTTACATGAGAGCAGTTTTGTTTCAACAAGAAACTGTTACGGTTGTATACAGTTGTTGACTGACTGATTGTCGCAAGCTTTGGCCACAGGGCTTGCTTTTTCTGCCTGGCACATTGGTCCTCGATGCTTGGCAAGTTCGCAAGCGGATTTCTCGGTCTCTTTCAAGCAAATACACACTAACATCGCGCCATTCTTCACCATCTTCACCTGGGAGTGGAGAATATGTCTTTGGTTCAGCTGCGAGGCAGAACTCAAATCCACCAGTTTGCCGCAGCAAGCCCCGCATGCATTTTGAAACGCTGGTGCGGTGAAGACCCAGATCATTTGCAGCATTTGTCACGGAGTGATGCCACCTCCATCCATGGTTTTCCATGCCATGAGGCCGGCTCCAAACAGGCTTTGCAGTGGTCGGCCCATGCCTAAGAGTGGAGGAAGCCACAAAATGAGCTTGGTTTTCTGAGGGAGAGACCCACTCCAGATTGTGGGCTGCATTGTTGCCTTTGTTCAGATCTTTGTGGTTGACAAGTGTTTGATGGTCTGAGGGTGGTGGCCCAAGAAAAGCGAAAGCTACCATGCGATGTACACGCACATCTTGGCAGTGTGCATTCATGCATAGCTTTGTTACGAAGTATCCCTGCTTGGACATGTACCCTCTGCTTATCAACCCAGTCTGCGATGTTATGCGGCCAAGAGAACTCACCATCCTGCCTAGCACCTTTGCACCGGACACCGGATTGACCATCGGCCGCCAATCTTCTCCGGGCAAGGCAAGTTGACAAGCATCTTGATATTTAAACTCGTGGTCTTTTGCTGTAGACTTCTTGCGGCAGAAACTTGCCACTGAAGATTTGTGCAACCCAAGCTGCTGGGCCACCACTGCGGCAGATGCGCTTGTCGTCCAGTTTGTGGACCCGACAGATCTCCATTGCACAGGCTTCGTCTGTGCTGGTCCACTACTACGCCTGGATGGGTTGGAGTATGAGTGTCGCACGTTTTCACTGGGCGTTACATACGCCAAGTTGTCTAAGCGATTGTTGGTTTTGTCGCCATCCACATGGTTCACTTGCCAGGCTTCTTCAGATGGGGGAAGTCCACAAAAAGTGATCTTGACGATGCGGTGAATTGGCCACTTCCGTCTGGAAATGAAGGCGAACCTGTACCCATCAGCATGGAGACATCCATGCGAAATGGTTCCTTTCGTATTGCTAATTCGGCCATGCGAGCTCACCTGCCAACATGCTTTGCAAAAGAAGCGCACGGCAGTTGGCCAGCTGGGACTCAAAGAAAACCATGATGGGCGTGAGAAAAAACATAAGTTCATTGAAAATGAACATGCAGGTCAACTAACATCCACATTGCCCTTCACAGGCGACATCCGTTCAAATGTGTTCACCAGGACCTTTGCGAGGGCTTAGGTGTGTGTTCCGTTTTGGCAATGAATTGCTGAAGCGCGCATGATCTGAACCAAGAGACTCAAGAGTCTCTGACTTCCCTTACCCTGGCCTCTGATGGCTAATGCGGCAACATCCCAACATGATCTCGTCTTTGGATATCTTTGGTGTGCACATAACTGACGGTTGACCTCTGACTTTACATCATAATAATCAGCAAGGTGCTCGAATCAAAAAAGGCAAGCTGCACTGCTTTCTTCCCAATGAAAAACCGTCTTCTTCCACCAAACCTCAAACTTGAAGTCCAACTCGGCACGCTTTCCATTCGCCCCAAGACCCACATCAAGGCTTTCCAGTTCGATTTAGCAGGGGTAACTCATGGCAGAAGCTCCTTCTTATGCCAACATGGTGTTGGATGTGTGTATTCTATCAATACAGTACATATCTAGTATATATCATGTTGGTCTATGAAGGCTATGAGACTTTGACCCAAGCATACCCTGCATGTCAAGAATTCAGGAAGAAGATGGCTGATTCCTCGGGCCGTCTTGAGTACGGTCCTTTTGGCAAGATCCGTCCTTGACCCCCGACGATCCTCAGAAACACTGAACGGACCAACGTAGTGGGACAACCACGGTCTGCTAGTCAGGGATACTAATGTGACCCGCTCAGTTTGCTTGGAATACATAACTTGAGCTTTGTTCACCTGTTGGATTTTAGATAATTTAGTGTGCCGAGCTAGAAGCTGGGTCCAGGTCGACTACCTATATCATATCCGATCATAACCATCCATGGCTAGGTCGACTTGTATAAGCTCCTATCAGCGAAAAGCAAGATCAGCTCAGTGGAGCTGTGCGTCAACTCGATCCAAGGCAATGCATTGGGCTCCTTACAAAAAGTTTAGCCAGTGCATTCATGTCTGAATAGATTGAGACTTGCACACTGCTGTAATACGGCCTTGAGGGAGTAAAACATGAACAAAAGACATCAAAAGAATACGTGTTCACCAGCCGGGCAGCTGGCAAGAATCGTTGGAAGATGTTCTAAGATCACGTGTCGTGTCTGGTGTGTTGAACGGATGATGCAATCCCCATACTGCAGCCGGGAGCCAGAAGTGTTTGTGCTGGAAGGGAAAGTGGGCGTCAAGAGGGCCCTCAAAAGGCCCTTCAGAAAAGGGTCTCCTATACTTTTGGTGTGTCCGACACCTGTGAATGTAATTACCTGGTTGAGCACATCTTCAGACCAACACTCCAACTAGACCTGAGGTTCTGGAAGGTCCAAAAAAGGGCTGCGTCTTGCCCACCCTCCGCCCACACCCAGCCGCCTTGCCGTGGAAAAGGGTCGGGAGCCGCCTCTCCTCGGGCCGTGAAACCGGGTCGTCGAGGACTCCGACGAATCGACAAGGACTCCTACAGGTTGAGGATGAAGCAGCACCTGGACCCGACTCCACGGTGTAGATCCACCATAACCATTGTTGTGCATAAAGACATACATACCATGACATACCTGGACCCTCCACATGGGACATGGCCCAATCAAAGGGTACTTGTACACATCTTCCGAGGTACTTTGAGACTTCCGGAAAACGCAGTTCAGCAAGGTTGTTCGCTACCGAGGAGAAAACAGTGAACCTCTCAGTACCTCCAAAATAGGATCAACTTTGATCAAAGGGAGATTGGGTGCCTATAGGGCTGCCATGGGCCAGGATGAACTAGCCTTCCGAGCATGATGACCCACTCTTTTCCATGCTACACAAAATCGATCGAAGAGTGACTGAATGTTAAAGCGCACGACGGACATCTTTTGCATCAGCCGATGACCCGGAAATACAATTGAAAACATGTCCAAAAAAAGTGTCTATTCTTCCAAGGTCGATTGCGGTCTATTGCATCAGCTTTCTTTGGCCATGGGTCTAATATATGCTACCAGTACAATTCACCCCCAGCCACCCAAAAGAAAACTTGTTCTTGTTTCGAGAAGAAACCAATTCCCTCAATGAAAAGCTTTTTTCAGTCGATCCACACACTTCCTGGGACTCGTCTCCAAGGCACCGACTCACTCTTCGCCAGCACCGGAACCACCGGCACCGTCTCCACCAGAGGAGGAGCCGGTGGAGCGGCGTCGGTGTCGGCTTTGCGCAGGAGGAAGAGCCAATCCCAGGGCAGTGGCGAGTCAAGGAGCCTTGAAACGAATCCAAAGGCATGAACCGATCCCTCCCCATTGGAGCCCAACACACCCAAAAGCTCAACAGCTGGAGGGTGTTGTCTGAAAACACCAAGTTGGGTCTAAAAAGCTTGAGATATCTTGAACATTGACATGTGACCTGGTCGTGGCCTTTCTTCTCAACATCTCCGGGTGGTCCAGAATCCGAAATGGACATGGAAACCACCGTTAGAACCAGGTCCCTGGGTCCCTTGTCTTGGGAATCTCCCGTCTTGAGAATCGTGGTGTCGCAGGCCTCTTGGGGACTTGGCTATCCGCGGCCAAGCCCAGTTCAGAGCGCCAGGCGTAGGAGACGCGCTGAGCTCGTTCAACCTCAAAGCCTCCTGAGAGCAGGAGGGCTGGAGGCCGGCTGGAGGTGGAGGAGGAAAGGTTTGAGATGGTTTGAGATAGTCATTGGGTTTGGAATTGGGGTTGAGAAGGATCAGATGGAAGGATCCTTCCTGGAACCATGAAGGGCAGGGAGCCCCATTGAAGTGCAAAATGGGGGGATTGTGCTATGTTGGGGGGGTCCAAGTGACGTCTATTGTGTTCAAAAAGGGTGAGAGGGTCTAGGAGGACACTGCACCTGGTACCTCTGGCCCAACCACCTCCATTTCGCGGCCGGGCGGTTCGGAACAGGGTGACCAGTTGCTCTACGTCGCTGTGGTCACTTGCTTCGGTTCCTCTACTTAAACAGGTCACACTCACACCAATGAATGATGTCACATGTCCTTTGAAACCAAACACAAAGGTCGATTTGCTTAGAGATACCCATCGATACTTCACCTGGGGGATCACCTCTATATCAATAATCAACTAACCAATAGCAAAGGTCCATGTATGGGTCACACGATTTAAACCCAATTGGATTGAAAGACATCTTCATAGGGCCATAGGGGCTTATTCATCAAGAGCCTACATTAGGTTCATCTTCAGGTCTTCAAACCAAATCATCCCTGAAGACCCACAGACCGTCTCAGGTTCGGTACAACAGGATCCGACGGGACCCGGACCCAACTCGCCCTGCATCTTTGCAGTGTGTCCCTCCCACACCGACTCCTCCACAAAAGAAGCACCGCACTCTGCAAAAGCATCAAAACGCATCAACAACCCTTTTTTCAATCTTTTCAATATTTTTCAACCATCTTCAACCCTTCTAAACTACTGCAAACCCTTCAAACCCCAAAAGACTCCTCTCGGCCGTTGAAAACTGCTCCATCCAATCACCAAACACTTACCCTCCTCGCAACATGCGCCTGGCCCGCTCGCAACATGCGGCAGACCCGGCAGACCCGGCTCCTCGGTCCGCACCCCCCGTCCGGGCCTTTGGAGGCGAGGCATCGGAACTCGGGCTCCTGGGCGCCGCGCTTTGGTGGTGACGCAGTGGTGACGGCGTGGGGGTGGGGACGTGACGTGGAAGCCGGGGACGTGATCTTTTTTGATATGTGGGAATTGGTGTGGGAGATATAGTACGCAAATATAGGGTATAGTCTATATGATGGAGATGATTCACACCCTTTCTGGATCTGAGAAGGTCTGAAAAGGTGGTCTGAGAAGGTCTGTAAAGATATGTTCTAATATATATATATATATATACCAGCACCTTCATGTCGGGGTCGCCCGGCTGGAAGCCCCTACACTACGATCAGGGACCTCCATTGGACACCCCTTGAAGGTCCAGGCATAGATGTTTCTTATTTTTTGGAGGAGGTCCCCCCCAGGGCCAAATTTCTTCATGTAAATCTCCTCGGGATCCCAAAGGCGAAATCTCTTCATGTCTCAAGAGGTCCTTTCCGTCTCACTGAATGGGCCAACTGCCAAAGGCATGAGACAGGTTGGAGAAGAAAAGCGAAATTGAATTGGACATACTCAATTAATTAACACACCTCGCGTATCCTCGCGTCCTCATCAATCAGTTTGTATTGCAAAAAATATGGGCCCCAAGGAAGGTGGACCAAACTAATTGAAGTCAAGTCACTTTGAAGAAGCTGGCAGTGAGTTGTGCCATCTGAATGACACTTATTCAACATGCCAGTCAGCTCTGCTTACATTTACAGGAAACAACAATCGTTTCAGCAGCACTGACCCTTTCAGCTTCTCAACGAGCAAAGCACCATGGTCCTGGACTCCAAATATGAAGTGGGTGGGTGGATCCTAGTGAATCTTTGAGTTGAGGTGGTTAATGTAGGCTCTTGACTTATTACTACCCACCATATTCTATGAACGGTTGTTCAATTCAAATGGGTGGATCATTAATCAAGATTAATCAAGAGTCTAAGTGTGTTTTGCTTCCTACGCAGACCCTGGACCCGAACCAACTGCTACTTGTTGGTCAAAAACCCGATTTGCGTAGAGTTTGGGCAAAGAAAATCCTCCAACTCATCCCCATAGGCTATGGGTCCACTTCAGTCCACGGTACCTCCTTTTCGGATGGTGGAGGTGAAAGTACAGTACTGGTACTTCCAAAGAATGATCAACTTGGTGCCAAAGGACATCCGCTTCGGATGGTCCTGGACCCTTCGGGCCACTGCCGAGACATGAGAGAGGCCCTAAACTCCCTCCAACCCAAAAGGCGCCTTATGGCGGCTATATAGGTTTTTGGTTGGGGCCCTAAAAGGCTAAGGCTGGCTTTTCTTTGGGAGGGACTGAACATGATCTGAAGTCGCCAATTCATGATCCAAAGTACAGTATCATTGACTCACTTCGGAACAAGGATATCATTGATTCTATGTTCAGTCATATCATTTGGTTCCACTCTAAGTCACTCAGCTGAGGCTCCAAATAGTGCTTGGTCCGCACCCCGCTCCGCCGCAGCACGCCCTTCACACAGTCCGCGCCCTCCGCGCGCGTGGGCCGGTCTTGGACGCCGACCTCGGTACCAGGGGAGTGGGGTCTTCAAGTAGTCCATGCAAAGAAGTGTCCGAGCTAAATAGAATTATAGTCCCTAATGATTGCCAGAATTGCTATTATATCATTTATATTTTAGAAGTATATTGTAATATATATATATATATATTACTACGTATAGTACATGGTATATAAACATGTTTAAAGAAGTTTGAAGGGAGTCAATTGACTACCAAAAACCTCGTGCCACATCCAAACCCGCAGAAGAAATTGCAGCAGCCTGACCCTTTTCGCAACTGCAGCTCACGCCACCCAATTTCGTCCAAGGGCAATGTGAGAGCATGCCCGACGGTTCAACAAAGATTTCTAAAGTATGCGCTAAACTGTGTTCAACCTGTGCAGCCTCATGAATGCATGTTTGACTTGTGTTTACCCCAACAACTTCCACAAATTAAATTAGGCTTTTCTTAGGTCCACCCCTAGCCAGGAATCTATGCAAACATACAACGTGACGGACATTCACTGTATGATATAATCTAGCCAATGTCCAAAGTGAACCCTTCGTTTTTGCTCTAAACCTCATGAATATTCTAAGTGCAGTCTTCATTCATCTGAAAGTGTAGGATCGAACATTTTGGAAACACATCTTTATACTTACAGTAGTATTATATTACTATATTAATATACGTGTATATAGAGTATATGTGTGTTCTAAGTAGGGACACCCGTCACTCCGAACATGATCATGAACGACCCTTTGTGCTTCTCCTTTGGCAACTGCCAAGCCACGCCGTAGGGGCCGTCATATCTCTCCTCCTCACAGCGCATGTTGACGTAAAGCCCACTCTCCAAGGAGGGGACGATGCAAAGCAGCCGGCCATTGGGACACAAGGATCGGTAGGCGTTCTTCAACATCCTCGGAAGCAATTCGGACTTCTGGCGTGGCGCCAGCGACGGGCGAACACGCGGCAGGAGGTGCCCCCTTGCGTCGCCCATCGGACGAGCTCAGCGGAGTGGCGGAGCGTTGGATGCTTGGCCGAAAGGGCATGTGCGACGATCCTGCAGAGAAGAATGGCCCGGCTGAGGCGGTCGGCTCAAAGGAGCGCCTAACGAAAAACACATGGTTGGCAAACGTTGTCAATGTGTGTATTGGCACTACAGGCCAACAAAATGATTCTCCTGCAATTCTGCCTGACCCACATAATCCCGCTTGGCGTCCGCAAAACAAATTGAAAACAAAAATATTCAACACCAGCCAATTTATCCTAATTTATCCGTACTCGGAGAGGTTCAAATAATGTCTCTCAGCTCAACAAGCCTTTCGCTCACCACTTCCAGCTTCCTTAAAATTCCCTGACTCGGAGCACTCCAACCACACCCCAACCGTCAACCGCGTGCTCCGTCCAATTTCACGTCACCGTCACCCGATGTTCACGCCAAGTGGCAGCTGGTGTAAGCCGGCATGATCTGGAGCAATGAGCACGTTAGCCATGACGGCGAAGTCAAAGGAACCCATCTCCGCCAGATGTCCATAGTGCATCGAAGTGCCTCAAACTCGTTAGAACAGGCGCCCGCATGTCGGTCACGGACGTGTGGCCAATTTAAAAAGAATTACTGTATCTGAATTGTACATGTAGAAGTCCAAAAACAATTGCACCACCAGGATTATGACCTAAGAAAAAGGTTAAAACAATAGATGTAAAATTAAATGGTCGACTGGACTGGCCAGGTATATAAATATTGATATATAAGCCTATACAGCACCCATGGGTCGTGTATGGAAGATACCCCCTGCTGAGAAGATCTAATCGATTCTAATCGCACACCCGTGGTGGGACTTGGATGAACCCCCGTCGCCTTCTGAGAAGACCCCCTAAACAGAAGAATAACACAAATAACTTAATAACTATTTGGAGGGGCTCCTGGCATCGCCACTAGGAGCAAGGACGCTAGTAGAGGCTCCTGGCCGTACTGCTAGGAGCAAGGGGCTTCTGGCCATACTACTGGGAGCAAGGACGCTACTCAGAGCTCAAAATGGCTCAAGGCTTAGCCGCCGCAGACCTCGTTCTTGACCGTGACCATTTGGTGAGTGCCTAATTGATCCGACTCGTAGTCTGACGTCAAGCTGCCACAGGTTTGTGAAAATCACCTGTGCCCGACGTTGATGTGCAATGTGCAAAATGTGGATGCTTCTTCTTCGAAAGCTCCTTCGAATATGATCAGATGAATACCTTATAATACCTTCATACAGGAGCGCAGCTTGTCCCCAGGGAAAAAGCCTTCTATTGAGCAATCATTCTGCCTGCCAACACACCGCCGTTGGTAGGTGCAACCGCCTGGCCGATTCCTGAACGGCGAAGTCTCCCGAAACAAACGACCCCTGCACCCTGAGCCCTGTGTGAGCTGTAATCCACCCAAGGCGGCATTACATCGTCGCCACGGTCCGCCGGGGCCATCGGCTCCCAAAGGCATGGACGGTCTGGCGGTCTGGAAATACCAAGCAGTTTCTGAAGCAGAGGTTGCTGGTGGCTCCAATGCCTGGTGGCTCCACTTGTCGTTTTTACCTGATTAGTCACTGATTAGCACCAAATTGCAAGCCAACAAAGACCTTCTGTCGGCCTTCTAAGTTCCCCTCATGAAGACGCACATCATTTGGGAATGCTCCACAAGCCAACGATTTAATCTCAAAAAGGCCCTGGTAGGCCAGAGATGCTTGCTCTACTTCATCCGAAACAGAGACATTGAGAATCCAGGTGGTGTAGCATGCTTCAACTCCATGTGCGACGCGAAGCACAAGCTTCAGAGCAGAAAGACTCCCGTCCATTTCAATTGAGGGCCATATCTCCTGGACTTCACTTTTCTGACAGCACCACTGCGCACACAGGATCGGGGGGTTGAAATACTTAGTACTTCGTGCTAACACCGATCGCCAGGAGCACACAACCAAACAGTGCTGCCATATGCATCAACACCGCTTAAGGCAAGGCTTGCTCATGCCCAATGTTCTCCAAGCTCAGAAACAATACAATAGACGAAGCACTGCCAATTTGTCACTGTAGGCTTGAGAAGCCCAACAATGTACTCGAGAAGAAAGGCATGGAAGAAAGCCTGTGGTTGGCCTACGAAGAGTGGACATATCTATATAGTTAGTTCACACCCCTTCAGCCCATCCACTGGGCAGCTTGCAAAGGAAAGAAACGTGCATGCATCAGAACAAAACGGCCATTGCTGTGGAAATGGCCATCAAAGCTTTGAAGTGCGAATGGCACTTGAAAACGCAAGCATATATCTGCTCCGTCAAACGGCCGGGTTCATGGTGCTGTCATTTGATCAAGAAATACTGGACTGTAGGATCAACATGTACCCCATAGGAAAAATCACCGCAAGCAAAACCAAGCGGCCCAGAGCTCCAGGGTTTGGACCAAAGTGGGCATGACTTGGCAAGGCATCCCGCTATCCCATGAACTCATGGCCCAAAAGTCACCAGCACAGCCAGCCCTGTCCTCCTCCCCAGCTTCGATCGCTTGGAGTAGGGTGTCACTTCGTCTGTATGTGCATGCGTGCTCGTTTGGGGGACCAACCTGTGTGTCCAGACAGTCTGTGGTCCAGACACCACACCATCGACTCTGTCCGGGCCCTGCTGCCGCAGCCTCGCCCCCGCTCAACAAAAAACACCACAGTGAATCACACCACCCCCAGCCACACACATAGTGGACCCACCCATAATCACCCACAGTTTCTCTACCCACCCACCCCGGCCGCCCCCGAGGAGAGTCTGTCTTGGAGCAAAGGAACCATCGTTGCGGTACCAGACTTGCGCCAAGTCCCGCACCGACACCTCAGACGAGTCTTGCTGTGAGATCAGCAGCGAGCTCGATCGATGGAGCGACATGGACGTTTGGATGGCAGCTCGAGTCTCTTTGCATTGCATGAGTCGAACTCGAAGAAGAATAAACGAAACAAACGGTGGCAGTGGGGCAGGGTGTTGTCCTTGGAGGCAACGGCAAAGCATTTGAGACACGATTTCCCCCAAATTGGGTGGCCAAACGGCTGTCAACCACTGGACTCTCTTGCCCCCTGGCCACATCAGGTATCAGGAGGGCTGACTTGTGGGTGCTAAGGGCGGACTTGTGCTGATCAACCCTCAAACCAACAGAATTGCTGCTGATCAACCGTCCATCCTGTACCTCCAAAGAAAGGAGATCCAGAATGATCAGGCCAAATTTGATCCATCAACTAAAGCAACACATCTGCTACACTTATTACTATACCCCAATAAAACCTCATGACATTCGATGAATGGGTCTTCTCAGAGAATCAGAGTTGAGGGACTGCCAGAGACTTCCAAGGACTTTCTGGTGTCAACACAAACCATGTTCTTCACCGAAACCGACAGATTAATTGGGAGTAAGAACCCCAGGGGCTCACATATACATACATATGTTGGTGAGGTTATTTACAGTGGTTTCATAGCTTCGATGGCGGCAAATGGGGACCCCTCCAGATTGCAGATGATGGGGCTCCGGCCCAGACCTGCCATTCTCAAACCACGGTAGTACAGTGGTACGGTGGAACGTGTTCTTTTTTGGCACGTTCGTGCGGTTTTGACAAACAAAAACACCTCGGAGGTCCCAAGGTCGATGTGCCACACCGGTCGAACATGTCGCAGGCGGAAGATCGAAGATCGGAAGACCAGGTCTTCTATGTTGTGAACCCACGGACATAAACAGACTTTGCGTATACACACTACTAAGTATTATATAGTAAGCTACAAATGAACGTCTGGAAATCGTTCTGGGATTCTCCTGACGATTGAGACACGTCAGTCCTGGGACTGACTTCAAAACATAACAGTTTGGACTGACTTAACGTTGACCGGAACCACCGTTGGGAGCACCGGAACCATGACCCCTTACCCCGTTGGTTCGCGCTGGTTCTCTCAGACTCCGACCATGACGTTCTGCAGGTTCAGCCTCGTGTGGGGGGGAGCTGAAGACCCGAAGGCAGGTCACCGTCCGGCAAGTCAGGAATCCCACCTGCACTGTGTACATTGGACCAGTGATTCCAACCAAAGAAACGCACCGTCCGTTCTTTTGGAGAACCGGACCCCGGGCCGACCGGACCGGGCCCGGCAGCTGATGAGTCTGGGTTTGTGAAAGCCTTGGCACCCAAGCCTGGGGGGTTGAGTCAATGAGTAGCCGGATGTGAGGGCTTGTCTCCGTCTCTGACATGAGCATTGCCAAGAAGTCTATCAGATTAGTATAGATGGTATATAGACAGTAAAAACACAACAATTACATGTCAATACATAATTACTACATATATATATATATATATCTGACTATATAACTGACTATATACTATATAACCCATGAGATGGCTCAAAATATCCCGAGACACGGCCCATCCATCCCCCAAAAACCGGCACCAAGCGTCTTCTTCACCTCCTTCTGCGCGCAGGTGACCAGCCTGAAACATGGCAGGCCATTGGGGGGAACTCCTGTGGTCGCCTGTCTGAACGCCACCAACGCAGGCAGAAACAACATGAAACAAGTAGAAACGGTCAAGAAACGAACAAAGGGTTCGGCCTTCCCCAAAGAAAATATCTAGGGATGCTGAGGGTGATGTTCATCCAAGATCCAAGAAAAATGGTCGTAAAGTGCCCAATTCATGTAATTTGGTGCACGGTGTGCCTTCATGGCCAAAATTGTCAGTTTTAAATGTTTGACATTACCATCAAACCTGTAGTTTTGATGGCGCTTTTTGAGGGCTCCTTGGCGGGTAGCAAATGTGATCAACTCAGTACACAGAGGAACCCAGTTGCTAAGGTCCCAGTTGGAGTAACACACCAACCCATCTCAAAGCAGCGGTCAGTCCCAGACCATCCATGTATAGAATAGTTTGTTTGATGTTAGTTACACACATTTACCCCATGTATGACTCATCCAAGTAAGTAAGTAAGTAAGTGAGTGAGTAAGTAAGTAAGTAAGTAAGTACTGTAAGTAAGTAACTATTCCAGTCCCATGGATGGTGTCAGTGGAGCACTGCAAAATCATCATAAGGTCCTTCTTACTCCGGTCCACCCTTTTTGTCCGTCTGACCACCGTCTCGGCGACTCGTTTCTCTTGCCAGGCTGCTTGGGACTCAGGTCATAGGCCCAAACCTGCCGGAAGTGCTTCGACAAGGTGGGCAAGTACTTTCCTGGGCGCCCAAGACAGACATCGTACCCAAACGATGGAAACGCAGCGCAGCGAGAGTACGCGAGATGGAAACGCAACGCGAGCTTCTGCGGCGTTGTCACGCAGCGTTTAGGCAAATGATGGAAGACCAAGCCGATTGCAAAGTGATGCAAATGATATGCTGATGATGAGCTTTGCCACCTGAGTGTGTGTCATCATAATGTCCACTATGTCAGCTGTTTCTCGCTTGTAGTCGAGAGTAGTCTTTGTAGCTCTGCAGCAAGTAGCTATCCCGAAAGTCCAAGATGCCACTTGGAAGTGGAAAACCACCTCTGTTGAAAGAGGAAATGGGTCTTCCCAGTGGCCATGGTCCATTTCTATGGGATGTGTTCGTCTGATGCTGTAGCTGCAGCTGCGCCACACACCGTTTCGGAGTGGCCATACGTTCGTCCAATGGCGACCCTTCAAGAGTACTCGATGGGAACGAGTCAGACAGACACTCCCATGTGCAGAAAAGGGACATCCAATGAAAAAGACATATGCAAATGTAATGCTCAAGAACTAAGATAGTTACTCCCAAGACCTCTTGGACTCTCCAAAAAGGATCTCTGAAACCCAAATAACGGTTGAACTAGGTCCACCATGGTCTATTGAATCACTCTGACAGTGGATGTTTGATGGGGAGGCTGTGACCAGGACGGGTCCCTGCAGATGCGTCCAAGCCTCAAAAGAAGTAGGTCTATCCGGCACCATCTACCGGGGAATATAGTAATATATACCCTATAGGTCAAAAGGTCTTATTTTACTGGAAATGGTCATACATAAACACTACTGAAAGAGGACCAGGTTTGGACCTGGGTCAGGCTGGACGCAGTGTACTTAGAATTCAGCTCCGATGTCGGGGTTTGACCATATTTGAGCGATCCGCGGCGTGCGGGACATGGAAATTCAAACTCACATAAACCTTCCAACAGATTGTTTTTGGACCTTAACGGATGGTTTCTGGGCACCTTGTCACTAGAAACACCTCTTCAAACGTCCAGGTTTGGCGGATATTTTTTCTCCATTAGTAGGAGCCGAGCACAAATACAAGACATGTCAAGCATTGCAAGTACTGCAAATCCGTACGCATACAGCCATTCGTTGAAATGGTTGGATGGAAGAAAACCTGCTGGGACACCCTCTTGGGGGGTTGAACATCTATCTATAGGTTGATTTTCTTGTAGCTGGACGGTTAGGCGGCTAGAATCTAGAAGCATTGGTGACAAACAAGGAGGGCTGCAGTCCATAGATTCGATTCCAATTGTTTGTTCAACAGATTCCCTGAATTTGTTTGGAAAATAACGGTTACGCAAACTGTCCACTTGTTCGTTTTGGTGGGATGTCTCCGATCCCACCAATAGAAATGCATTTTCCACCATTCTCCACCTGCTCCCCATTCCAATGAAGTTCGACCCAGAAGACTTGGTTCCAAGTGTCCCACACCACACCCCAAGTCGAGACAACGGCTATTTGGGCTGCCACAAGCTTCGATGACCTGGACGGTGCGGTCGCAGAGTTTCGGTTACAGCGACAAATTGGAAACTACGCAGTCCCTATCGAACCACATACCCTCTGAGAGGGTGATGTCTTCGACACTTTTATGTAGGATTGGAGGGTCCAAGGACCTTCTGAGAAGGTATGCGGATTCATATTGAACGAGTTCTCTTCTGCGTGGTTCTTTAAAGTTAGTTTTTCATCCAAGGGTTTGGGGTCACAAAAAACCTGGAAAGGGTCACAAACAGCGACTCCAAAAGAATTTTTGAAGAAACCGGTTGCAAAATCGAACGCGTTGCATATAACACATTTACTTTTCATTCACTCGGACACGCTCAAGGTGCCCTCCAGGCTCATGGGAAGCTTCTTCATGGACACTACAGACACCCGCTTCGGGGTCAAATGACAATCTTTGAGCTCCATGCTGGACACATGCTGCACATTCCTGCGAGGAGATATAGGCACCAGGACCCAAACAAGATTCCTGGCTCGAACGCAAATGGTATAATGGTAGAATGCAGAAACATTGAGTTCAATTGGCTTGCGTCAGGGTGTGCCAACACAGTTTTGCAGTCCTTACGGAGGCCTCACAACGGACCTTCTCATCATCAACTCGTGACAATTTAGAAGTGCAAAGAAGGAGACAGAAGAAGGAAAAGGGAGGGAGGGAGGGAGGGTCGAGGTAGTTCAAGAGGGCGTAGAGCGTGTTTTGCTCGCTCTTCAGCCGTTTCGTCCTCTTCCAGGTCATCAGGCTGCTTCGAAGTGTCCGGGACGAGCGAACTGGAGGCCGACGAAGCCAGAAAGCGCCTCCCAAAATTTTGTGGGAGGGAAACGCTGGATTCCATTATTCCATCTCCAGTTGCAAGTCGGTCTCCTCCATGGAGCCCTAGCAGTCAATATGTTCTCAGAGTTCTCGCCCTGCTGCAGAGTTGCAAGTACAACTGGTCACCGCCTCCTTCAACCACATCCGGCTCTCCTCGCTGCTGCCGGCGTTCCCACCCAAGCCATCAGACTCATCCCCAGGAGAGGGGCTCAGCAGCAAGCCCTCAGGAGGCTGTTGCTTGGCCGGCAATCTGCCGCTGGCGTGGAAGCTATCTTTAGTGTGGTTTTGTGCTTTGAACACTTCGCCCGCCGAACCTTTCATGTGGGGATCCTTTGTCTAAGTATTTGTAAAAGGATTGGCAGAGTGGGCCCATTTCTTGGAATCCATCTTTGCAAGGGTGAAAAAAGAAATCCGGGTGCTGGTCAGCAATGAGGCAGAGCCTACTTTTGCCATGGATGGTGGTACAGGCTGGCAAGCTGTGCTGCACATCCGCAGTGATGCGCCAGACATCGGGGGCGAGGGCCTCACGCAAACTGTATACGCAATACCAGTGAGGGTCATGACTGCAATAGGCTGAACAAGGTTGCCGACCTATTCTGCTGCCCGAGTGAGCCCACAGCACATTTGAGCCAAGCCTTGAAGAGATTCGGGCTCAGAACGGACAAGATCAAAAAGGATTCGCTCGGTACGCTGCGTTCAGAACGCAAGTTTTTGAAACGAAAGTTCTGAACTCCAAAACGCTCGAGCCGAGTGATCTAAGGTCTTGTGCGCTTTGGTGATGCTGTGTGTTGTGGAGCCTAAAACCTGAAGCATCAAAACCAACGATTTCAGAACAGTATGTCAACAAACTGGAGACCATACACTGGTGGGTTTTGTTTTATACCCTTGTGATCAAGTATTCAACATCTTTCAAGACATCACAGGGCCGCAGTAATGTGCTCGAGTGCTGCGCCTTGGTCTGCGACCGTGTCACAGTATATATTGTTCTATTACACTAACTAATGATCACTGATGTCACTAATGATGATCTAGGGAAGGCACGAACTACGACCACCAGTCGTGCAAAAGACCATCCTAGTTTGTGGTTTCTTTGCCAGCTTTTGACCCACACCCACATATACCAAGTCACCCAATAGTTGGTGTCCAAACTTGAACTGAATTTCGCGGAACCAATGAGCTCTCTGCGTGGTTCAAACCCTAGGATTCGAACCACCATTGATTTAATGGGTGTTGTATCAAAGAACTACAGTTTTCGTAAGGATTTTAGACTACAAAACCAGGTCAACTATTCTTTTAATGATCTTCCAAGGCCAGGGCCACTGCAGTTGCCACAGCTAGGCTCAGGTTCTAAGTCAAATGACTGGTGGATCTGCAGCGACCGACGGCTTTCCTAGCTGACTCCCAAGGCCTTTTCCTACCTGCCGCAGACGATGTCATGGACCCTCAGCATTGACCCGTGAAAGACGATCTCTACAACTAGAGTGGTTTTGGGGTTCCACGTGGTCCTCTGCAGGAGAGCTTTACCGTTCTTCGCCTGTTCTTGTTTAGCTGCGAAACCAATTTCCCCAAGAAGGTGTTTTCAGCTTATCCACTGACTGGGTAGGCTAGTATTGAGCTTGGGCCAACTCAGTGTGGGACAGCGCGCGCTCTATGCGCCAGACTTCTCGTCTCGCGGGGCAGTGCGCCCGACTTCCGGGCACCTGTTTGATGACCCCCGTGGCATCCTCATCGATGCTCGAGAAAATGTTGTCATCATAGTTCCTTGGCAACGAGATTCATCCACCAAGGATGGGAGTTGGGCCGAATACGCCCTGGAAGGGACCCACATGGAACCTGAAAACTACTGGTTTGTGGAGGAAGATCGTCTCGCGAAGCTCGTTGCCATCAGGTTCCATGTCAATCAATTTTCTTGGGTCAGTATAAAGCATTGTGATCACATCCCTGGTCGTCCATTGGGTTCATTTGTCTTCTCCAAGGTCCCTTGGGGTATGATCATCTATCGACCAGGGGTCACAGCTTGACATATTTGGGCTCTGGAATCTCCGAGCCGTATCCCTTCAGATTTTCTGGAACACAAATTGAACATGTCTTTTTTCGATACACAATATCCAATACAGGCCTCGAGTAAAGACTTCCTCCCGGACTAAGAACTAAGAACGCACTTGATTGACCAAACACTCCATGGGACTGGAATATATAATTAGAGTGTGTATGTATATATATATATATATACGCACAGTATATTGTATATTATAATAGGTTCCGTGATGGTTTGTGTCCCAAAAATCATCCCCTAGCCATATAACAGTATACTACATATTATGTTTATGTAATTTATTTGCTTCCGTTGACCCTACCCTTGTCTGTCGCTACATGTGCCATTGACCTACATGACATGTCATGCACCCCGGGTAGCGGAGCCGACATCGACCCGACGAGGTCACCAGGGAGACGAATGGAAGACCATGGTTCCTTTGAAGAGCTGTGATCTGTATATTATATATATATAGGTTTATATATATATATATAGGTTGTTGAAGTATGTTGAAGTGCAAATTATATCAGTTTCTTCAGTTCCTGACCAAACTTTGGAGTCAATTATATGATCTATATAAGTGACCCTTTTCAGGCTTGTTCGAGACCTAAGTCACCAAGGGATCAAGTTCGGTCACGAACTGAGGATCAGGTATATATGCAAAATGTGTTATTCTTGTCTCTTCAGTCCATTGCCTGTAAGGCGCAACACACTTCGAGGCGAGGACATTGTCTTGATCTTCGACTGCACAGATCAGTGTACAGTACCAGTACCCTCTCAGTTCGCAGAAAAAGACATCCTTCAAAAATAAACGAGTTATTGAAAAGAAAGACGGGTTTTTGATTTGGGATGGTTTTGAGTGAAAGTGTTGGCTGCTTCCGTTGGGCCACTTGGGCTCAACCCCACGGAGATGGACAGTACTGGTATGACAGCCAGGCACTCAGAAACGCTCAGAGCTGAGACAAAACGCAAACTTTTCCCCCAGCGTGCAGCTCAACGCTGCAAGTAACCTGCTTTGACATACTCCTGCCGCGCTTTCGTAAGAAAGCGCAAAAGAACACGGGACACCACCGTAGTGGGATGTACACGCCTACTGATTCGGCTCGTTCTGCCGATGTTGTCTTCATCCATGTGGGTTCCCCAGTTCAAAGGGTGTAGGACCCATGGACTCTTGCGAGATTCCATCAACAAATCTGTGAGGAAAAGGTGATGCAAACAATGAAACTTTGGAACAAGAACAAACAGGCACTGGCTGCGGGAATAGGCAATCCTGGCTGCTCTGCAATACAGCTTCAGGAAATCCATCCCAAGCTTTCCAGCACGCGCCGCCACGCTGGCTTCAAGCCATACGTCATCCACACTGTACATTAAAGCAAAACTCTCGTTCGCACATATAGCAGCCTGCCGAGTGACGAGGAAAAGCTCATCCTCTGACTCAACTGTTTGCGACCAAGCGATGAACCACTTAAGCAGCACAGCTGTTGTAGCTCCCTTGCCCCACCCACCATTTGGATAGTCCTTGGTGGTGTCCCAATTGATGCCCTCCTTTGTGAAAGCGGAGACATGCAAGTACTCAGAGTTTGCCTTTGCCCAGGCTTGAATGTGGTCGTTGAGATGTTCAAACCGTGTATCTATTCCACTACCATCGAAGTAGATTGATGCTATGGCAAGAGCGTTTCCCATAAACAGCTTCCCAGCTCCCAAATGAAAGTTGTGCCATGGGTCAAATCTGTAGAGTTTTTCCAACTCACCTTCTGTGTGCAAATTTTTGGAGAATGGTGGAAGCTCCTTGAAAGGACTCTCCCTGCCGATTGTATCCAGCCATTCGGGCGTCTCGGAGCTCAGGTTTTCAAACGGGTATGGACCCTTGCCAGCTTCGCAAAGGTGACAAATACCCCTGCACCAAACTGGTTCACCGGTGTCCGCGCCAATGACCTTCGGGTAGCATGCAAAGTTGCGCTCCAGGCAGCCGGCTTTGGCCAAAAATGGCCAATCGCCAGAAACTCCAATGAGCATCATGTTGAACCGAGTCCCTTGAGTATCAGTCACACCTTCACGGGAAACAAAGTCTTGTTCATCGGCTGCAAAGGAAAGAAGGTCTCGCACAGCAGAATCATTCTTGGCATACTGGCTCTTCGGCAGAACCCCACACAAGTAGCGCGTTGTAAAAACATGCCCTTGATAGTTCAGCTTCATCTTCAAGTACTTATTTTTGATACCCAAAGACCGCCGCTTCTTCTGGCACTCCTGCAGACCTTTGCCTAGCAGGCTCCGCCATGAGCAAACGAAGAACTGGCTTTTCTTCCTTGTGCGACCCTCGTCCCCATGGAAGGCAATTGCACAAGTCCTAGCCAAAGAAATCTTCCCCTCGGCTTCCAGTTGGAAAGCTGGATGTAGTGGGTCATATTGACGGTACCTTTCCCAAAAACTTGCCCAAATTTGCTCACAGCGCTTTGGATCTGGCTGTGCCAAGCCCGTCAAAACGTGCCATAGGTTCCTCTGAAGGATGAACTCTAGCCAGTCCCTCAAACGCAACGCCTGAAAGGACTTCTTTCCTTCAACTTCTCCATTGACTTTTGACAAGTCGATCGGTAATCGAAGCTTGTACTTGCTGAACTGTCGGTGAGCATCCCTCTCAGCATTCCGGTCACTTGAAGACGCCAGATTGAGGAGGCCTGGTGACCTCAACGAGGCCTTGACCCCGATGTCGCTCACAATGTTCTTGGCAGTGCTCACTGCTTGGTTGCATGGAGCCTCGGCGCCATTGAATCTAATTTCGCTCATTGACGGAGGGAACTTAAGAGGCACAAAAGAAACATTGTCAAGAAAACACTGGCTAAGCATGGCACACCTGAACCTATAGCGCCCGCAAAGCCACGCAGTATTTGACCAGGCGTTCCACCTGGCAAGTAAGCGAAACAAACTTGCAGCACATGCAGCAAAGGGTGCCAGTGTGAAACACTTGATGTTGTTTTCCTCAAGTCGCTCATCGACAGAATCTACAATCCCTAGGGCGACGGTGGCCAAACCACGCTGACGAACTCTAAAGTGTACACGTATACTAGAGAGAGGCGCCAGGCCATCAAAACATCAAGCTAACAAGCATGGCTTTGGACAGAACACTCTTCAACTCTGCCTTTCAAGACGTGGCCTGGACCTGACGAATTGTGCATATCAACACCCATTGCTGTAGGTTTTCCCACAGCCTCTAAAGGTGTTTGAAACCCAAGACTCTCCAGCCCCCAAAAAGAAATTCACTTCTTAGTCTTCTTATTCGTTTTGCTTTTGGCTTTGGCTGCGGCAGATGAAGCATCCTTCCGTTTTTTGGAGGGGTCCTCAACACTGCCTGACCCTGGCTCACTCTCAGACTTCTTCTTGAAGAACTTTTTGCTTTGCCTGCAGGGCCGATCTAGAGCATGAGGTAGAACTACAGGGGGAAATATGTCAGCTTCAGACTTCAATCCTCAAGGTTTTGTTTGCTGAGAACCAGGCCGGATCTTTGCTTCGAGGGCAGCTGCCTTGCTGCACCTGAAGGCAACGGGGATGGGAAGATCTGTGGAGATTGGTTTTGGCAAATGAGTTTAGCACACGGCTGTGGAACTGCGCATTTTGGGCTCAGCCCTTTTCCAAAACCTGGGCGTTCACTTTGAAATGGGATTGATTGGAACGCCAAATGCACACATGCATCATGAAACCAATACAATGTTCAGTGAGAAACGCTTCGCCAAAGCCATCCAATCCACCATCAGACCAAATGTCATTGCAGGAGTCGTACTCCGTATCCAGCTTGGAGATATGGTGGTCGAGTTCCTTCAACGACCTTGGCCAACTGTAGGTCTAAAGCCCCACGACGCAAGCAACAGGCATGGTGGACCTAAGACTTGCACCCGGTGGTCTCAGAGCAAGCAAAAGTCTCTGAGATATTTTTCTTGAGTGCTCGAAGCTTCCCGCTCTTTTGTAGAATGCTCTCCATGAACTTGTGAAAAGCATCTTTGTGAGCCTCCCCACTGGTTGCTTCATGCAATGTGTTTCTTAAAGAAGACTTTTTCAGATGATCGATGTTGGAATAAGCCTGCCTTGTCCTCAGCATTTGCGGTACCAACAGCTTTCTCGTTGTTCAACCTGGCTTCCATCTTTTCCAGGTTGGCAAATGCGCCATCTGGAATTTCTGGACTGGCAGACCCCTCCTGATCAGGCGTGAGGGGTTGGTGGGGAAGGTTGAAGTGGAAGCTACGGGGTTGCATCAAGAATACACCACATGTATACAGCATGGCCTTTGGTTGCTCACGCTTGCGGTCGATCTGCTCGTGACTTGTCTTTTCTTTGCGACTTCCGTGCTCCCGGATCTGGACCCAGTACTCCTTTTCACCATCATACTTGTTCAACCTGCCAATGTAATTGAGAACACGCTAGTCTAGTCTTAGTGACATTTAAAAAGTCACAAAGGATGGCAAGCGCCCGCACCTTACCATGGTATCTGGATTCATCATGCAGACCCGAATGGCTCCAGCGATTCTTGACCTCAGGCGGTGGGCACGTGACCATTTGGTATAGCATGCAACTCCACTTGAAGGATCTTGAAGGGTATGTTCTTGATCTTAAAGGGCAAACCATATATTATATATATTATATCACCATTGCTGTGTTCAGCCGAAATACTTGGACCACTTGAGATCATGTTCCATCTCATATTCACTGTACCACGCTTCATCGATGATCAGCTCTG